GCTGGGCCTCTGCCAGTGTGCTGCCCCGCAAGCCCGATGCGCTCAGCGGAGGTGTGTCGGGGGAGCTCCTCGTGTGAGTGACGTGAGCACAGACTCCACATGGGTATTTGAAGGCTTGCAGGGGACGCATGTTTTGAACAGGGCAGGCAGGATTGTCTGCGGTTGTCCTAGGTCCCCAGCACACATTTGTAGACTCAGGACCAGCCACACTCGCTGCACTCTCGTAGTCGCGTCTAGAAAGCATCCTACCTTCCTGTGCTCGGGAACAAGGCCTGCACATATGACAACCCACTGCTAGATCTGTATGGTCTTCCGCGGAGGAAGCAAGTGGCTTTAACCGTTACTGCCGGGCATCAGATTCACAGCCAGAAGCCCCAAGACCAACCAAAAACATGCACTGGACGAAGGCAAACTGCAAATGCACATCCACACGTGCACACACTCTCACGCGTGTCTCATTGCTGAGCACCACGCCGCCCCGGGTGTCTCTGGGAAAGCTGTAACATGGGGCATGGCTCACTGCATGTTTAACCAGTAAAATGTACCTCCTATGTTCCAGCCCGGGTCCCCCCAAACCTGCAGAACTCCATCCTCTTAATTTGGGAGGTCGTTGGAGTTTATCTTCTTTCTACCTCCGTTTGCGTTGATTTGCAATCAAGCCTTTTCTTCCTTTTCACCAACTCTGATGTCTCTGTCTGGGCTGTGCAAGTGAGGCCCTGAGCACAGACCAGCTGGGAACGGGCGGGCACTCCAGGAAGCTGGCTGCCGGGGCACTGGGACTCCATCGGAGCAGACTCCCCACTGCTGGTCCTGAAGTAACCATCCAGGCACGTTTGTCCAGAGGCTCGGCAGCTGGATTGCATACCCCCCTTGGCCCCAGCGCATCACGTTTCCTCCATGCTAGTTGCGTTTTGCAAAAAGAGACAGCTCTGCGAACAAGACGTCCCCGACAAGCAGCCTCGTAGACCACGCTTGTGCTCTTAGTGTGGATGGGTTTTCCCGGGGTTGTGGGTTTGAGTCCCAACTGCAGAGACTGTGACAACCCACTCTGGGTTAGAGTACCCCCAAATCAGGCAAATAACAGGTGAAATGCCAAGATGCTCCGGGTCTAATCCTGAGTTGGAGCCCCAGGTCAGGCCCCAGGTTAGCAGTTGAACTTGTGAATATTTTAGGATAATCAGAATCGACCAGTAATAAGATAAGAACAGGACGTGTCACACTGTTAAGAAGCTTTCCGTGGTCCTCCCCTGGTGGCACAGCAGTTGAGCGCTGGGCTGTGAAACTGCCCACAGCCTCTGCAGCGCCGGTTCGATCCCCAGCCGCCGGCGAGGGTCCCACATGGTGCGCAGACTCTCCTGCCGCCCGCTGCTCCCCTCAGCAGTGTATTTCATTAGTCTGCCTGCTCTGTTCCCTGCTCTGGCTCTGGTGAATCCTCTCACCCTCCCGCGCTTCTGACCATGCCCAGTGCTTGTGTAAATAAATAAATAAATCGTAAAAAAAAAAAAAGAGGTGGAAATTGATGACTTTAAAAAAAAAACTTCCCATAACTTCAGAATGTTTATGTGAATATATATGTTGTATGTGTCAGAAAGGTTGAACTCCCTCTCCACACGCCCTTCTCCTGTTCACACGACTCGACTCGTAAGGACACAGATCAGTGGATTAAGGCCGCCCTAACCCAGTCTGACCTCACCTAAGCACATCTGCAAAGACCTGATTTCCACATAAGGTCACATTCACAGGCGCCGAGGTCAGGCCTGCAGCATGCCTATCTTCTGGGGGGACGCAATCCAATGCACAGTGATTCTCCATCCCGCCCCATTTCGCCAAGAGGGCAAGCCCTTCCGGCCACCGCCTCGGAGCTCGCTCACTCGGATCCAGGCACACCGTCTCTTCATTCTCCCTCACCTCTTGTTCGTCCTTGCCCAGCGTCACCCTCACCATGAGGCCTACACGACCACCATTCAGAGGGAAGGCCTCTCCTTCCTGCAAGCCCCACTGGTGAGGCAGACCCCGGACACCAGATGTCCTGGCTTTGAACAGCTGCAAGCTTTGGGATTCTCAGATCACCCACATTTCTGAGCAAGAGGAGGAAAATCTGAGAGGTTTCCATGACTACCTTGTCTGCGAAAAAGGGTGCAGGGAGCAGTAAAACGACCGCCAGGTGTGAGAGACGTGTGCAATAAAGCGGCGGCAATGGATGGAGGGATGGATGAAGAAAACGAGCAGCACGGGTCTGACGTGATGCTGCTTAGCCATGAAGACAGAGCGCCGTGGACTGGGTATCTGAGCACGTGGAGTCTACTTTTCCACCAATGTAAACAATGCTGCTTTGAATGCTTTGTTTCAAAAGGCTGTTTGTGCACCTACATAATGGCTGAGACACCGTTATGCAGCGCCAGGGGAGCAGGGCCTCGCCAGGGGAGCGGGCCGAGGGCAGATGAGAGCGGCAGGAACAGGAAATTCCAAGCAGGTTGGGGCGGCACTGGGGTGGCCACGAGGACAGCCCTGAACAAGCACCTGCGGGTGGGGGGAGCCCCCTCTTCTTTCTTTGAAGCCCTCTGCTTCCCCTCACGTGTCTGCTATACTTTCTGTCCCAGAGAGGTGGCTAGGGTGAGGCGGGGACCCTCAGCGCCCAGGGCGGGGGCACGGGTCTGGGGGATGCCGTCCAGGCCCCGGGGTGCCAAGCTGTCATCAACGGCCTGGGGCGCTGTGCGGCTCGGCTTGGGGGAGGCCCGAGGGGCCGGGTGCCGCTCGGCCGGGCGTGGGGCGAGGCGGGCTGTGGGACGCGTCATCCCGGCGCCTGAAGCGGGAGACACCGGCCGGCCCGGCAGCGCATCAGGGGGCCCAGGTGGCCACGCCACCCGGCACCCGTGGAGGGGCCCGGCGGAACGCAGGGGGAGCACGCTCGCCCTCCCGCCCGATGCCTGCGTCCCCTCCCGGTCGGGGCGGCCGCACGAGCCCATCTTGCTCGACCCCAGTCCCAACCCGGACCCCGCGTCTCCGATTCTTTCGCCCCCCGTCTTCGCCCCACTCGAGTCAGGCTTTTCTATGCACCCCTTACCTGCCTCTCTTTCCTGCTCTGTGTGACCCTGCGAGCCACTCTGGGGTGTCCTCGCCTTGACCTCCAGCAGCACCCAACACAGCGGACCGCTTCCTGCTCCCTGACCCGGGGCCCTCATGAGGCAGGACCCACATGGTACCCTCGGGGACCCTCACCTGTGTCGGCTCCTCTTCTTCCCCGACACCAGAGCCAACAAGAGCCCCGGACTCGGGCTGGGGCTGGCCCGATCCCTCAGGGCGCCTTGGGGAGCTCAGCCGGGCTCAGGGCTGCCGAGTGTCTCTCCAGCCCATTCTTTGGGGGAACTGCTGACTCTGTGCCCTGGGGTGACGCTCCTGCTCCTCCGTGAGCCTCCCCTCGCCGTCCACCTACCTGGGCGCCCCGCGAACAGACCCCCCGCTCCCCAGATTCTCCCCGGGGGCTGCCCACCAGGCTCTGCAGGAAGCTCCCCCTGTTGCCCCTCGGGAGGTCACCTCAGTGGCGCCGTGGGAACCCCCTTCCCTGGAAGGCCGCCTCTCCCCCGGCCGCCCTCACCTCCGAGCCCCCGCCGGGGGCTCCTGTCGAGCAGCGCTTCTCCTTTGCTCCCGAGTGCGTCAGGACCCCGGGGAACAGCCTCCTGCCCCTTCCTTCCTCCCTTCCCGCCCCGCTCCCAGCTGCCGCGGCAGGGCGGGATCAGGGTGCGGAGACCCCGACACCGGCGGCCGGCCCGGGGCGCCCCGCTCGGACCGGCCGGGGGGGCAGGCGGACGCGGAGATGGAAAACGACAGGATTTTATTGCTATGTTCGCGGTGGCTGTTAGCACAGTAAGAGGGTCCCCGCCGGCCCCCGCCCGCACCCTCCGGCGACGTCGGGGCGCGGGTGCGCGTGCGGGCGCGGGGCGGCCTCTGAAGGGTCCGCTCGGCTGTCTGGGAAATGGAGGTGACACCGACGGGGCTTCATTAAGCTGCTACGTGGAAGACTCGAGCCGTGGAAAGCGCACGGGCCTTGAGCTCGCGGGCCGGAGCGGCGCCCGAGGTCCTCCTGGGCCGGGGCCGGGGCCCAGCTCGGGTCCCCGCAGGCGTGCCCGGCCCCGGGGGGGGGGGGGGGGCAGGGCGAGGGCCGGCCCGGCGAGCCGGGCCGGCAGCCCTGGACCCGGACGGACAGGACGCCGGCTTGGGGCAAAGAGGCGAGCAGGGAGCGACACACCCAGCCCTGCCAGCGTCCAGCGGTCCCGGTCCTGAGGACCCCCACCCACACGGGACACAGACCAGCATCCAGCAGAACGGCGGACCCATGGCCACCTCCCTGGCACGGCCGTCCAGACCCCCAGGGCCGCAAGCGTCTGTTCCTGGGAGCAGATGGGGAGCGCGCCCCCGAGCATGAGCCACAGAGGGCCCGGGCACGCGGGGGGCGGGAGGCGGGCCAGGGGTGCGCGGGGCCGAGTGTCCCAGTTCCCTCCCAGGGCCTGAGGGCAGCGGGGCAGCGGGGCTGGCGCTGGACTACGGACATGATCCAAGGAGGCCGCCAAGCGACCAGGCCCCATGGCGGGAGGCAGCGACAGTGCCGCCTGGGCCCGGCCCACGCGTGGGCGCCCGCGGGCGTTCGCGCCTCTTGGACCTGGGGCGGGGCTGCGGCTGCAGGAGAGGCCTGGCGGGCTGCGCGCGGCACCAACTGCGGGCCCGGCCGCCAGGGGGCGCGCTGGCGCGGAGATGCTCACGTGCCGCATGGCCAACGCACTCCCGCGGGGCCTGCCTGACGTCACACGCCGGGGGCGGGGCTTGCAGGGGCTGCCGCCCGCACAAGCGCCAGGAGGCTGGGCGGGGCCGGGCCGCGAGCCAATCAGCAGGCATCCTGGGCCTTGCTCCCGAGCTGCCCTGCGCAGGCGGGCGGCCGAGCCGCAGTCCGCTGAGGGCTGAGGTGGTGTCAGGCGGGTGCTCGGCGTGGAGGGCGGGCGGCGGCCATGCAGGCGCCCGACGATGGTGTGGACGGCGCGCAGGGCCCGGGAGGACAGCGACGGCCCGCTGTCCCGTGGGGCCCCGGAAGCCAGGGCCGCCCTGGCAGCCAAGGAGCCGCGGGCAACACTATGGCCGAGCCTGTCGGACCCCAACCACTCCCGCAAGGCCCGGGCCCTGCTGGAGACGCCGCCCCCGCCGCCGCGGAGCCTGGCGGCCGGGTGCTGGAGTTGTATCCTTTCCACGGACCTTCGGGCGGGCAGTGCTGGGCTGGTGCCCACCGTGGGCGCGGGGTGGTGACAGCAGTGGGGGCAGCGGGCGCGTCCCGGGCCGAAGGCGGGTCGCGGGTGTCGGGAGCCGGGCCCGAAAGCCAGTCGCCGCTGCCGCCTTAACCGCCAGCACGCTCACCTTACCGTTCCGGTGCCCCCTGGAGGCCGACATGGCCCGCCGGTCCATGGCCCCTGACGCCCCGCGCTACCTCGGGGTGGTGCACAAGGAGCTCACGGTGAACGGCAGCAGCCTGGTGGTGTGAGTTCTGGGGAGGGGGCGGCACGGGCCGCGGTTGGGCGCGAGGGCGGGCCGGGCCTCCTTGGCCTCATGGGCCTCCCACCTCACTTTCAGGCACTGGACCGCCGAGGACCCTGTTCTCTTCCGAATTTCCATCAACTCCTTCCTGGACCAGCTTTCCCTGGTGATTCGGAACATTCGCCGTATGTGGCCGCCGTCTGCACCCACCCCCGGCCGAGGAAAGGGACCTAAGGTGTGACCCCCTTGGCCGACTCTGCCAGGCACGGGAGGCTGCCCTGACCGGCATTCTGGCGGCCCGGTTCTGGGCCGGGCTTAACGGGGCACCGTGGACCCTTGTTTGCTGTCCCCGTTGCTAGAGGGGAGGGGTTGGACTGTGCCGCGTTACTACACAAAATAAAGCCCAACTTGTGTTCTAAGCCCGCGTTTGTCTTCCGCTAGTGCCTCTAGCCGTCCCGCCTCGCTCCTGGGCGGGAGGGGGCGGGGTGCACGCGGTCCGAGGTCACAGGCCGCGGAGGGCTCCACAAACGGGTACTTGACCCACTCTCGGGAGTGGTCGCGCCCACTCCCACCCGCCCCTCCTCCCGGTCGCTGCCCCTGGCATCAGACGTGGAGAGCTTAGTGGGGGCTGGGTTTGGGTGGCGCCTCGGTAAGGTTCTCTGATCGGCACAGTGAGGGCATCCGTGGTTCCCCTGGTGACCCACTGCTCTTAACACCACCGTCCCCGGCGCCCTCCATGAGAGCAGGAAAACGGGTTCTTGATGTTCTGGGAGGCTCTAATTTGGAAATGGTTTCACCGTTTGGAGTCTCGCTTTTAGGAAAGAATCGTGAACGAAAGCATCTCCAGGCCCAGGGTAAGAGCCAGGTCCACAAAAGGCAGTTTCAGGGCCGTGGCAGCAAGGCCCAGGGCGAGTCCCTTATTGCAGCGCAACCGCCACCCATATACTCCTACTGGCACCTCGGCTGCCCACATAAAAGTGTACTGATGAGGTCTGAAAACGCGTCTGGCCCTTTTGAAGAATCAGGAAAAGCTCACGTGGCAGGAGGAAGTGGAGGCAGAAAATGCTATGCGGGCAAAGGCAGACAGTGACAGATGCCCGGGCCGCGGCGCAGGTAGGAGGACCCGCGAGCCTCGGGCAGCAGGTCCCTCCATGGCACCCCACGGCCGCCTCTGCCCCTCCCCACCGCGTCCCAGCATCCCGGATGGCCCCGAACCCGAACGAGCGGGGCCTCCCCGGCCCCAGCCCCAGCCCCGCCCCTGCAAACCGGGGCCGGGCCAGAAAGGGGGGCAGGGCGGTCGCTGGACGGAAGCAGACAGTCGGGATGGCGGGTCCCTTTTATTTCCCGCGGGCAGCCCCCAGCGAGCAGGCGCCAGCACAGCGGAGCCCCCGACACCCCCCGCAACGGCCCCCGGGCGCCAGGCGGCGTGGCCGGGGGTGGGGGGTGGGAACCCGGGGGAGGCTAGCCCCCGAACTCCGGCCTCGGCTTCACCACCACGGGGGGCCCGGAGCGCTGCAGGGCCCGCACCACCGCGGAGAGCTGCTCCAGGAACGCGGCGACGGACACTCGCAGCTGGGCCGGGTCTTCCGCGGTCAGCAGGCTGCAAGGAGGGGGAGGCGGCTCCGTCGGCCCACCGCGCGCCACCGCCCGCCGCCCTGCGCCTGCCCACGAGCCGCCCCCGCCCCCCCCCCCCCCCCCCCCCGCCGCACGGCCCTCCGGGCACTCACACGGACAGGATGCTGCCGGACACCAGGAGCTCCGCGCGCACGGCCCCGGGGAGGGGCTGGTCACGGCGGGCCAGCGCCTGGCGAGCCACGTGCGCCTCCACGGGCGACCGGAAGGGCTGCGCGACGAAGCTGGCGGGCGTTCGGTTAAGGCGCAACCCCCCGCGCTCCCGCCGGGCCTCGGGCCCCACGACGGCCGGACGGCCGCGCGCACCCCAGGCCGCTCCGGCCGCCCCCACCCCCCGACCCAGGGTGGGCGCCGACCCTCCCGTCCCTCGGGGGCCCCCTACCCCGGCCGGGCCCGGCCCGCCCCCGCCCCCGCCCCCGCCCCCGCGGTGCCGCAAGTAGGATACAACTGGATCGGGCGGCTGCCCGGGGCTCTGGGCGCGGGCCCGGCGGCCTCGGACGGCGCGTGGGCGCCGGGCCCGAGCGCGTCCGCGCCGTCGGCTCCGAGCGCGCGCCCCGCGTCGCCGGCGTCGGGGTCCCGGTGGCCGGGGTCGCCCTGGCCGTCCGCGCGTCCAGCCGCCTCGTCCCGGCCTCCGCCCGCGGCGCGCATGGTCCCGCTGCCGGACGCGCCCACGACGCTCGCGCCGCAGCAGCGCGGCTCGGCCCCGGCCCCGCCCCCGGCGTGTGACGTCAGGCGGGCCCCGCGGGAGCGCGGCGGCCACGCGGCACGTGAGCCTCTCCGCGCCAGCGCGCCCCCTGGCGGCCGGGCCCGCCGTCGGCGCCGCAGGTGCGGGGGGGGGGGGGGGGGGGGGCGCGAACGCGCGCGGGCCCGGGCGGCGCCGTCGCTCCTCCCGCCACGCTCGGTCTGTCGGTCGCTGAGGACGGGGTGCCCTCCCGGGGGCGGGTCCGCCGCCGCCGGCGGAGGAGCACCGCGGGCCGGGGGCGCCGGCCACCCCCACCGCCCCCGCCTGGGAGCGCTGGCCCGGGGCCCCGCTGCCCCCGCACCCCGGAGCACACTGGGACACTCGGGGCCGCTGCCCCGCACGCCAAGGCCCGGCTCCCGCCTCCCGCGTGCCCGGGCCCTCTGTGGCTCATGCTCGGGGGCGCGCTCCCCATCCGCCCCCGGGACACACGCCTGCGGCCCCTGGGGGGCCGGACGGCCGTGCCAGGGAGGTGGCCGTGGGTCCGTCGTTCTGCTGGATGCTGGTCTGTGTGTGTGTTGGGGGGGTTCCCCGTGACAGGGACCACTGGACGCCGGCAGTGCTCAGTGTGTCTCTGTCCACGCAGGCCCCCTGCTCCCCTTTGCCCAGAATCGCTCGAGTGAATTCCCAGTGACTCGGCCTGTGGGGACTTCTCTTAGGGAAACCTGACCATTTCTGCCACACCTGTAGATTCGGGAACTGCACTGGGGGCAACCTGGAACCCGCTGCGCCCCTTCTGGAGCGCCGCAGGTGGCGGTGCACGTTCGCACAGCCCTCCCCAGCATGGTTTACTTGCAAGCCTTTCAGCGAGCGGAGGAGGCCGCGGTCAGTTGTAAAGACCGAAGAGGAGCCCCAAGTCCTTGGCGATCACACTCGCCCTGTAGTTGGCTCTCAGTCGCCGCACACCTGCCGGGACAGGCGAGGAGCCGCTCCGAGCGTGGGCAGGCGTTCTTAGCAGAGGCGCCTCAGCCGCCGCAGCTCCGCAATGGTCCGGCGACCTTGCTCGGACAGAGCGGCGCGGCAGAGGGGCCGCCGTCCACCCGAGAGCCGAGGGGGACAAAGGTACGGTTGGTCACGGTCACCGTCAGCGGAAAGGAACGGAGACTCGGCGTACGTTTTCGGTTTTACTTGCCCAGGTAACAACACTGAAGCACCCCTCCTCCAGCGACCGGAAGAGCCCCCGGGCTCCAAGGGCCACACCGGCCACGAGCCGGGCCCCCGGCATGGGCAGGCAGGGTTGGGCCCCGGCGCCACGGAGGCCGGCGTCAGAAGGAGCCCGAGCGGTGGATGATGTGCGTCACCAGGAAAAGCTGGTCCAGGAAGGCGTCGATGGAAATTTGCAGAAAACACAGCTCTTCCGAGGTCATGACGCTGGAAGGAAGGACGGCAGGGTGAGCGGTGGCCCGCGTTACTCTGCCCTGGGGGGCCCCGAGGGCCCAGGCTCCCGGGGGTCCACCGAGAGGGGCTGTGGGGCCCGCGCGCGCCCGCCCGCGCGCCCGCCGGCACGCACACCACCAGGTCGCTGCCGACCACGCTGAGATCCTTGCGGACCAGCTGCACGCGCGGCTCCACCTCCGGGGTCAGGAACCAGCAGGCCACATTCGCGTCCAGCGGGGACAGGAAGGGCACCCTGAGGGTGCTGTCGAGGTGGGTTAAGGGCCACGCTGGCAGGCTGGAATTGCTCAGCTCGGGCCCTGCCCCCAGGCCGGCCTCGGAGGCGCTGCCCTGCGCCCGGCTGGTGCCCTGGCTCTGGCCTCTCCTCCTCCCCTAATCCCTCCTCCTCGGGCCTCCCCACCCCCACCTCCGCCCCCGCTCCCACGCCCACCCGCCCCCGGCCCCTCCGTCCTCACCGACCACCGACCCGAGGGCGCACCGCCACGCCCAGCCACCCCAACGCTCCTGCCTGTCCCTGGTGGCCCGCCCGGACTCGCGGGGAGGATACCACTGCAGCACTTTGCTCTCGGGCCCCGAGGCCACCGCCACGGGTGCGGCACCTCCTGCCGGCCCCGGAGCCTGCGGGGCACGGGCGGCACCCGAGCCTGCCCCGAGGCTGCCCTGGCCGTCCGCGCCCTGAGGCATCTGGGGCTGCTCATCGGCGCCCTGTGCTCCAGCATCGGGGCTCTGCATGGCGCCGCCTTCCCGTCGAGGATCACTCCGGGATGGCCGCCCGCCTGCGCGGCTCCAGACAACGGCCCGAAAGCGGGCCGCCTGCCGGCCGGGGCTGAGGCTGCAGCTCGACGCCCAGGGCGCCTGCGCACGGCCGCCCACGTGATGGGAGCGCCCCGGCCAGCCAATGACGCTCCCGCCCCGCCCGCCGCCCTCCCGGGGCCGCAGGAGGCCTGGCGCCCCGCCCCCCTCGCGCTCGACCCGGCCCCCAGGCGCCCACCCCCTGCCCGCTCCGGCGGTTCCCGCCCTGTGATCCAGACCCCGGCCCCTCGCGGCGTGCGGGCGCCATCGCGGGGCGCGGGGGAGCGTGGACAGCCCCCGGGGCCCCGCTCGGCCCCCGCCCCCACGGGTCACATCGGCACTGACACCGCGGGAGGCCCCGCACAGTCCCGTGGGAGCCGCGTTTCCTGCGGTGCCCTGGAGGGCTTGAGGGGCCCCCCCGCGGGTTGGCATTGGGGCCGGTTTGCAGCGTCCTTCTCCCGGAGCCCCCCGAATTGTTCACAGTGTGCCCTTCTGGGCCACCCGTCGTAAGGGAGCGGGCCCGACGGCGAGGGTTGGGCTGCTTCTGATTTCCTGCTTTCCAATCACAAGGCCGAGCGGAAGCTGCCCCAGGTCATCAGTGTGGGGGGTCGGGGGGAGATGGGGGTAAGAGGGGAGGTGGGGAGACGGTAGAGCTGCGCGAGGGGGGCGGTCTATGCAGGTGGGGGTGTGGGCCGGGCTGCAGCCAGGTTGGTGAAGAGATCCAGGGCACACACGAAAGCAAGCGGCTGTGCGCAGGTCACACTGCATGTTCCGTGGAGGGTGAGGGGTGCATCCCGGGCCCTCCAGGCTTTGGCCCCATGGGGCATACTGGCATGGGCCCCTGGGGGGGGGCAGCCGGACAGACGGACACCGGGAGCGCCGTGTGACCTGCACAGTGCCTCTCTCTCTCTCCCCGTGTCCCCAGGACGTGGGTCCCGCTGGCCCTCCGCGGCAGCCGCCTGCTCCCGCCGTTTCCCAGAGTTCAGGCGGTGCTGAGCCTCTGGGACGCCTCACCCGGCCAGCCCTCCAGCGGCCACCGGGGGATGGACACGTCTGACCTGTCCCAGCTGTCGCCTCACCCCCTCCACCGCCGCCCCTTGTCCAGCACAATCTCTGTCTTCTGCCCCCCTGCATCTGGGCACCAGGAGTCTATGCAGGTGGGGGAAATTGGAGGTGCTGGGGTGCAGCAAGGGATATGACAACTAACGATCAGACTGCTTGCTCTGCTGCACACTGTCGTGCCTTCTGCCCCCACTGGTTGGAAGTGGACCCAGCTTCTCCTCAGAGAGAGCAGAGCAGGACCAGGGAGTGAGGAGGGGAGCCAGGCAGGGCCGAGAGCAGAGGCCTGTGAACGCGCTGACGGCCCCTCCCCCAGGGGCCCCACAGACACCGGCCACAAGATGGAAGAAGGACCTTTATTAAAACCAGGGTGAGGGCACAACGCCCCCAGGAAACCTCGGGGCAGCAGGCAGGGCTGGGCTGACACAGGCCAGGATGGGGGAGTCCAGCCACCTGGGCCCTGGGTGCCCTGGAGCCGCTGCCCCCTGCCCAGCCCCCAGAGCGCCTCAGGGAGAATCATCCAGGTGAGGCCAGGGCCCCAGCCCTCCTCGACCGGGGGGCCGGGAAGAATGCGGCCCTCGCTGGACAGCATCTGGAACTCGTCGACGAGGCACTGCATGTCCACTGCAAGGAGGAGGGCGTGGGCGGGGGGCCGCTCCAGGGCGACACCAGCCCCCCGGGGCCCCAGCTGCAACCCACGGACCCCTGTCCGTGTCCCGCCCCCTCGGCCGCACTAGAGCCCGTGAAGGCTCCCCAGGGTCCGGCCGACCCCGGCGCGGCGGGCGGGGTGCAGGGCCCTCGCCGCGCAGGGCGGTTCTGGCCACGTCGGCGCAGCCCCAGCACAGCCGCCGCGCGAGGCGCCCAGACCCCTGGGCCGGGCGGACCTGCCGGTGGGTCAAACAGCGCTTCTCTGGGAGACAGGCGGGGAGGGCAGGCGGGCCCGGCAGGGGCGCCAGGCCAGGCCAGGCCGGCCTCGGCCTCCTCCCCGCGCCCCGGGGGCCCCTGGGCAGGCCGCGCCCCCACAGCCCCCCGTGTCTGGGCTAGAGCCCCCGGACCTGCCCACCCCGCCCCAGCTGGGCGTACCGAGTCGACGGTTAAGCCGGTCGATCTCCCGCAGCAGCACGGGGCACTGGGCCGGCACACGGGGGACGGAGACAGTGTCAAGGCATCTGGCCCCAGCCCCGCGCCACCCCGGCGGCTACAGCGGCAGGGAGCCCCCGGCGGCGAGAGGCAGCCTCCCTCCCCGGGGTGCCCCCCCCACCCCGACCCCGACAGCCAAGGCAGCATTACCCGGGGGCAGGCCCCGGCGCTGGGGGCCAGCGGCTTCCTGTCCTGGCGGGGCGGGTGCAGGAGCAGCCCCTGGCCTGCGGGAGCGGAAGCCCACGTGCGGCTCCCCCGGGGCGGGGAAGGAGGCGCAGGGCGGGCAGGGTCCAGGCCCAGGCAGCGCTGCCCCCCCTGCAGAAGGTACCCGTGCTCCGACCAGCAGCTCCACCCTTCTCTCCAGGCCGGCCTTCCCGGGAGCCGGGGCTTCAGGTCGGCCGGGTCCACCCAGCTGCCTGGGGGCGAGGGCCCGGGTCAGCGGGGCCGGCGGGACCCCGGCCAGCGCCGCCGCCCGCCTTGCCCCCTCCGGCCACCCAGGCCTCTGGGCTCACCGGAGCGGGGGGCCCCTCTGGCCTTGGCGCCTTCCTGCGCCGTGGCCCGAAGCTGCCACTGCGGGGCTGCCTTGGTGGCAGAGCCCCCGTGTTCTCCCAGCGACGCGGCCCGCTGAGAGGGTCCCGGCCTGTGCGCGGGCAGCTGAAACACACGTGTCTCGCTGCCGGCTGCGTGTGCGTGTGCGGGGCGGGCTGGCACGGGCCGAGGAGGCAGGGCCTCCACCAGCGGGCCCCCGTCTCCAGCACTGTGCCCCTAGACGGCCGGGGAGGGGAGCGGGGTGCTACAAAGGCCGGGGCCGTGTGAGGGGGCAGAGGATCGGAGGACCCATCCTTCAAGGGGCCGGTCGGTGCCGATCAGCTGCCAGCCCCCGCCTTCCCAGCCCCCTGGTTCCCGGCAGCCCCCGGGGTGCCAATCTGCCATCCCCCTTCATGCCAGGACCCCGCAGCCCCCGGGCTGGCCAGCCCTGCCATCCCCCTTCAACCCAGGCCCCCTCGCAGCCCCAGCCCCACACCAAGCACTTCTCTGACCCTGTGGGACAAGCCACCGGCACCCTCGGGCCGTGCCCCAGGACAGCAGCAGCGCCGCCAGCCTGGGTGCTGGGGCTTGGGCGGGGCAGGGGAAGGCGGCCCACTCACCGAGCCCTTCGCGGCTGGCTCTCTCCGGGGCTTGGCATCCTCCGCGCCCACGGGTTCCCACTCCTGCGAGCCGCCCGCCCCGGCTTTCTTCCCGCGGGGCTGCTTGGGTGACCCCGACACCAGGGGGTGTTCCTCCGCTCTCCCAAGCACCGACAGCCCAGAGATGGGGGGGAAGCTGGCAGTGGCCGGAGGGCGCCCCGCCGGGAGGGTGTGCGCAAAGCTGCCCGGCACAGCTTTGGACGCGCTGCCCGCCGCGGGCCACCTCTTGTGCTGCTGCGCCTTCTTCCTGGCGCTGCGCCGAGGCTGGAGGCTCGGCCTGTCCCCCGCCTTCCCGCTGACCCGGCCAGGCCCCCTCTCCGACGACGGCTTGCTGGGCGAAGAGACCTGCGACCCTCCTGCCGCCGCAGGGCGGTGCGCTCGGCCGGCCGAGGGGCCAGGCGCAGAGGAGCGGACGGCAGCCGGCGCGCGCAGGGCCCGCTTTGTGGGCGCCTCTGCAGGCTCCTTGCCGCCCCCGCGCCGGCCCGACCTCCCTTCTTGGGGGAAAATGGCCTCCTCCAAGATCTGCGTCTCCAGGGACACGTGGGAGGACGAGTCGGACGGCTCGGGGTCCGAGGGCGGCTGGTCGGGCGACGTCTGGCCCTGCAGGGCCCGGCGAGGGTCAGTGCATGCCCCGTCGCTCCGCCCGTCCCGCCCAGCCCGGGCCCCGCGAGCCCGTGGGCCCCCCACGCGGACCACGGGGCCCCGCGCACCCTGGGGGGGCGGCCCTGGACACGCGGCCCCGACCCGGCCGCCGCCACCCCCACTGCCCTCGCTGTGCCCGGCCGCGGGCCCAGACCTGCTCCCCGGTGGATGCGCCGTCATCGCCACAGGTGTCCATGTCGCCGGAGAGGCGGGGCGCAGCGACGCGGGCACGCGGCGCCCTCACCCTCGGGGCTGTCGGCCGCGGGCGGTGGAAACCGGTGGTCGCGAGGGGCCCGGACCCCAGTGCGCACGCGCATCCCGCCCGCCAATCGGCACGCCCTTCGCGAGCCCCCCACCCCCGCCGTGGTCTCCGCCAATCAAGGCCCAGCGCGCGCGGACCCCCCCCCCCCCGCCGAGGTCTCCGCCAATCAGGGCCCAGCGCGCGCGGACCCCCGCCGAGGTCTCCGCCAATCAGGGCCCAGCGCGCGCGGGCCGGACGCGGGCGGGCGACAGGGTGCGGGCGGCGCGCGTCCCGGTCCGTGCCAGTGCCCCCCGGCTCGAGTCCCTCCTCCTCCCCGATGAACGGGTGGTCTCCTGCAGGCTCCCCGGAAGGGGCCAGTGGGCAGTGGCGGACACGCCAGGGCCTCGCCTTCAGGGGCCTCTGCGGCTGGGCCTGGGGCGGGCAGCGGGGCTTCACGGGTGCAGGCGTGTGTCCCGGGGGCGGATGGGGAGCGCGCCCCCGAGCATGAGCCACAGAGGGCCCGGGCACGCGGGAGGCGGGAGCCGGGCCTTGGCGTGCGGGGCAGCGGCCCCGAGTGTCCCAGTGTGCTCCGGGGTGCGGGGGCAGCGGGGCCCCGGGCCAGCGCTCCCAGGCGGGGGCGGTGGGGGTGGCCGGCGCCCCCGGCCCGCGGT